CCCTCCCTGGTGGCTGGGCGGGGGGGGGGAAGGGTGGGCCGGGAGAGCCTGGGTTGCCTACCCCTGTGAGAGGGGGGTTGGCAAGTGCCTAGTAAAATTTTAAAAACTCTATATGTCTTAAATTTTGTGGCATATTACAATACCATTGGACAAAGGACAAAAAATGTAGTCACTTTATAAAAATGGAGTAATTTTAAAGATCAGACCACTACTGAATTTAATCATAACCAAAAATCTGTAACTTAAGGGTTACCCTCTCTCTCTTTGGAATACTGAGTAGGAATAAACAGGTCAGTTTTTTTAATGGTAGGACTATGGATACAACTGAAAAAATTACAGCTATTTTATAATATGCCACACAGAGCTTCAAACCCAGCACTAGAACCCTTGCTCCATACTTACCGGCTCTACCACTTGTGCTAACTGAATAACTCTGTTGACTAATAGCTACAAAAATGACACTTTTTTGTTTAATAGTAAGAGAGAAGTAGTTGTGTTAGTATGATCTTGCTAAAACAAAAGGAAAAACTATGTAGCACTTTAAAGACTAACAAGATGATTTAATGGGTGATCACCTATTAAATCACCTATTAAACCATCTTGTTAGTCTTTAAAGTGCTACATAGTTTTTACTTTTTTGTTTATAAGTCAAAATCTGACAATTGCAGGCAATGCAATATGAACACATGGTCCAGATTCTACTACTGCTAAAATCTTTGGGAAAAATCCCTAATACAAACAATGAGCAGGACTGGGCCCCAAATTCCTGAGAGCAAAAATTGTTAACAACTTTGCCTTACAACCCTTTTTTTCTTCAAATATAGCTAGACTATCAGTTATAGAAGGCTAACCTAAGTGGAAGTTTTGAGGGATGTTGGCAAACCATTATTTAGTTGTTGGGCAGCAAAAATATAGTAGGCCAAACTCATGGTTTCAAAACTATGGAATTTTTACTTTTGATTGACTTGTAATCTTAAAAAAATTTTTTTTTTTTACAGAAATAGTCTCCATTGCCTTCATAGAAAACACAGCAATTTTCAAGTAAAAACAATTTTCCAAGCCAAAGATGCAAAGGTGCTGAAGTAGGACTTCATACTGAAAGCTGGCTCAATTATAGAGCTCTATTGACTCTCCATAATAATGGTGTTCATACAGCAATCTATGAAGGTAACTTAATTCCATTAAAAGCTGTATCAACAAAAATAGGCTTTAAAGTAACATGTCAATTGTTTGACACTAAGAACTTATGCTCAGTGTCATTCACATTGTCACTTCTAACACACTCTCTTCCAGTGATTGTTTTGATATACCATGCAAAATACCACTGAAGGTGAAAGTAGAAATGAGGTGTAAGTTCCCAATGTAAGCAGCAGAATACACTAGGTGTCATTTAGAGATATGATACAGTACACAAACATGAATGTTGACATAATCCACACCTGCAAGACATTTACATTCATGTTGGAAATGCATCAGATGAAAACTACAATAAAGGACAGTTGTTCAGCCAGCCCAAAGAGAGAAAACATGAGAACACTACTCCAATTCTCTTAAGTATCCTCTTTACGGGGGAGTCAGGTGCTTCAAATGTCTGTTTTATCATTTCTTTGACATAAATTTGAAAGAAGCTTAGACATTAAGGTGAACAGTAGCTCCATTAAGATACAAAAATGGAAGTGTTATCAAGGACTGTTTATTTTTCAACATGACCTCTACAAGGGGAATCTAAAGGATGCCACAGATGTGTATCTGTTATTAAGAATTAAGAAAAATGTATATTGTAAAGACAGAAGTAAAAGAAAGCCAAGTTGTTTTCCTTCAAGTCACATCAATTTACAAAGAACTCACTTTTTCACCTCCCAGTGTAGTGCATGTTTGTTTGTTTGTTTTTCAGAAAAACAATAAATTGTGCTAAGCAGATGAAAAGAGGACATATAGAAAATAATGTATGGAATTCATTTAAAAAAAAATTTCTTATGTAAAGTATGTAGTAAGTAGTTACGGCATTACTCATAGTAATATATACTGTAATTTAAACTTACATGTATCCAATGAATCTTACTTGTCTCTTATAGAAATGTGTAAGACTAACCTTACATTACAGACCTTTTCTTTTCGCTAAAATTTCCATACTCTTAAATGAACATATGTTGCAAATCAAATCAGGACATTCCTCAATCTTTTTTTAATGAGTCTACTCTGGATGCATAATGAAGCAATAGCTAATTGTAAAGGAGCAAACACAGGATCAAAGGATCCTAAACCTATTTTATTTTGAACAGTTCCTTGCTTTTCCCAAAGTATGTTAACATTTTCACATGAAGGCAAACATGTTTCTAATAAACTACATCTGGTTAGTTGCTCCATGTGTTGGAAGAAAAATGCAAATGAAAAACATGATGTTTGCAGTAAAGGGGGCTATTTATGAGTAAAATAACCCCCTAGCTGTGAGAGCACCGTGTTAAGTAGCCTACTAACCTCTGACTTGTTGCTCTAGACTGAGGATGACTGCCACAGCCTGGTGAAGAATAAGCAGTTTTGTCTGTGGTTTTTCACTCTTCAGGTGAAGCTGACACATACGGCCAAGTTCTTTAAATGCCTCATTAATATCTCGTACACGCAAGCGTTCTCTAGCATTATTTGCCATTCTCCTCTCTTTCTCTCTTTCTATCTTCTGTTCTGGGTTTAAGTCTTCATCTTCATTAGTACTGCTGAAAAATAAAACAAACAGGGAAAATAAAAAGTTTTTTCGATATTTTGGAGGCCAGGATCTATTTTAACATCAGGTATAAGCCTCATAAGTGTGTCTGGCAAATGACATGGGTAAAATATCCATGTTAAATCAAAATTCCAGTTTGACTCATTGTATGCTCATATACCCATTTAACAGGGAAAGTATATAAACGATCTCATCTGAAAGAGAGAACCGATTTTGAATTGGTGCATATATATAAACAAACTGATATATATATTGCTGCTGCCATTCTTGCCACCATCAGATTTCCCTGAAAATATGCATCACAATGACTTTCACATAGCTGGTTCATGTCGAATTAAGTCAAATTCATATGTGCAGTATCCATAGCTAACACGTGCTAGAATAACACAGGAATACACTGTACTCTTGACAAAACAATGATACATATGTCATTTTGCTGCCTTCTCATTGGAAGGTGGACTTCCCAAATTCAGAATTTCCCAAACATCTTTTTAGGGATGCATAAGGCATCTGTAATAGATCTTGTAGCTTTCTAAGATCTCAAATGCATTAAAAATTCACACAAATAATTTTCAACTTAATAAATTCAAATTTTTTGAAAAAATACGGTTCTTTCCTATTAAACACATCTTTATGCAGTTTTCAGGAACACTTTCCTCCTTCTCTCATCTATGGTAGGTTCAGTGGCAGTTCTGTGGCTAAGGACTTCTCATTCCACTTCAAACTGTGATAACTATATAGTTGCACACACTTTTGATCAGACTATGATCATCTTCAAAACTGTGTAAAAACTATAAAACTTCTAAATGTTCTGCTGTTTCCTCTGCACGTTATTAAAATGCCAACGTGTAAAAATAATATGTTCTGCCTACTGATATATGCACATTAAATCAACATTTTAAAACAGGAGCTCATTGATATAGGACAAAAAGGAAGATTTGAGACTAAATCTAAAGTTATCCATGGTTTACAAGCTCTCTGCTATTGATAAGGACAAAATACGCAATACAGCCTGCGCTTTCAAAAGAAGCAGAGTAAAGTCCTTTGATGGAATACAAATAGCATACCTCGTTCTTCCTCTAGATGAAACTTTGATATCCTTTTGGGAGGATTCATCATCTGATTTCATATCGTCAGATGAGGGAGGTTCATGTATATTTTCATCCTTCTCCTTAAGTTCTGACTTAATTTCTGCTGCACCGATAGCCACAGATTGGCTCTGCAAGCCACTTGACAATGCTGCAAATAAACACAGCTCAGTGTAAATTACATTCAGGACAGCAGCCCCCTTTCTTGCTGGAAAATATTTTATAATTCACAAGCAGGTTTTCACCTTGTTGTTTATTAAGACAGTAAAAGGCGGTGGGGCAAGTAGATTAGGAGGCAAGCCTTGGAGAGGCCTGGGTAAAGTGTAAGGTTCCCTGGTAAGGAAGGTGAAACAGCAATAGGCAGGCAGTGACAGTGGAAGAGGACTGGAGGCAAGTGGAGAAGGAAATGGGTGAGGAGGACAATGGGAAGAAATGAGCAGTGGAAGTGTGGATAATGAGAATGGCTCAGGCGACTTATTGTACAAGTCGTCCTCGCTGTAAGTCCAAGGTACATTCCAAAAAAACTTGGAGTTGTAGCAAAACAACATAGGGTGTGTCTAAACTACACCCATCTGTCGGCAGAGGGATGTAAACGAAGCAGGGATTTAAATATCCCGTGCTTCATTTGCATAATTGCATCATGGTGCTGTTTCGAACAAGCACCATTTCGAAACTGAAACCGCAGTTTAGACGCGTTTTTTCGACAACGGGATGCCTTTTTTTGAGGAGCCCAGGATCTTTCGAAAAGGTGCCCCGTTGTAAAAAAAAAAACACGTTTAAACTGTGGTTTCAGTTTCAAAATGGTGCTTGTTTCACGATGCAATTATGCAAATGAAGCACGGAATATTTAAATCCCCACTTCATTTGCACTTTTGAAGTGCTTCATTTACATCCCTCTGCCAACAGAGGGGTATAGTTTAGATGTAGCCCTAAAGTGAGGAATTTTTTCCCGCAGCTGACCTGCAATTCCTACAGCGACTTCAGTGCAGAACAGATATAACCAGGACAACTTACAGCAGGGACGACCTGTACTTGAATAGTTGTTGAGGACAAGGTAGAAATCCAAAGATGAGACTACCAGAGGACTGCAGATTTGGCAGTAACACTGTAATCTTTTGATCTGCCCAACTAAACAGGGAACATGAGCACTTTCATAGAATAGAACCATTAACCTTGTAATAAATACATTCCAGTATTTAAAAGACAAAACTAAGTAGTATACTAGTAAAGTTAGAGGGAAATACTTCTTAAGTTTGTCATTATATCACTGAACTTGACCAAATTTACTACTGTTTCTTTTTAACTCTTAAGGTGAGATGCAATTGTTACTATATCATTTTCTGAGAAAAACCCTTGACTTGGAATTCACTCTCCATCCTCTTGTTCCAAAATAGCCTAAAGTTGTTGACCTTCAAAGCATGTTGCAAGATCATTTACTTACTCTGGCCTTTAGGAATGGTTGAGATATTTGTGGATGGCTGATGAATTTTATATTCCTGTAGTCAAAGGATTAGCAACTAGATTTATATTCATTCAGACTTGATCCAGTTTGGCTCTCATTCTTTAATCTTTGAGTTTTGTATATATAAGTTAGAGGCTAGTGCATAGAGCTTTAAAGTATCCACATTCTAATTACAAACAGAGATGATTTACAGTACTGAACAAATCAGTTCAGTCCACTATTATACATGAAACCTAGGTTTAATTTTCCATACACAAAGTGTGAGGCTTTGGGAAGACTATTCAATATTTAGTGAAAAACATGTCATTCTATTCTGCAGGAAACAAGACATCTGATAGAGAATACTGGATTGCATTTTGAGAGTATTATTTGGCATACAATTTAGAGGTTTGGTGAAAACATATCAGCATACAAACACTTTGGTTAGTATTAAGGCAGCTTCCTGTAGAAAGAGAAATAGTGATCCAGCTGATAGTGCCGAAACAGTGGAAAAGAACGTAAGCAGTTATTGATCAAGATTTATGTATCAGCATGAGTAACAGTATAACTATTTACAATCTAGGAAGCACAGCTGTCAGAAAAACGAGGCCAGGACTGTATCTACATGATGCTGTTGATCTCAATATATACAGATATAGTTAGTTCAGTAAACAAATCCTGCACATTCAGTATGAAATGAAAAACCCAAACAGTGCAGGCATGCTGGTGCATGAATTAAGGATGTTAAATTGCATTTAATCAGCTTGTGACCGTGCCCCCTCCCTCGGTCTGGTCCTGGGTGCAGTCGACCGTTTTCCAAGCCAGTTAATTTATCTCTTCGCGTCGAATCCTACTATATCCGCCTTTCCCTCGGTTGGGGGAAGGAAGGAGGGCCCAGGCCCGCCCTCACTCATGGGCCCCAGCCCATGGCCCTAAGGACAGAGACTGCGCTCTAGTCTCTGTCCGGCTGGCAGGGTGTGCCCCTAAAAGCACCAGCCCACGGGCTACTTCACCGCCCTGCCCTGGGCTACTTCCTTCCTCCCCCACCCCGTCTTCAGGGTGTCTGTACTCACAGCGTCGGATCCCCCTGGGGAGACTGCCACGAGTGTGTCCGGGTCTCTCCACTCCTCGGGGAGCCTGGGCGCTCTCCTCAACTTTCCCCCACCCACTCTCTCCGGTGTCTGGCGGGCTTTTAAAGTTCCCGCCAACCCGGGAGGGGTTTACGTGTCCCGCCCCCCTGACGTCCGACACGGCGCATCATTCTGCCTTGTCTCGCCGGCGGGGCTGAGGCTAACTCAGCTGTGCCGCCGCGTCTCTCCAGCTGAGCCGCGGCACGAGAACAACCGGCGCACTGCCGGTATACGCTCCGCTGCCCCTCTGCGAGAGCGCGCTAACCAAGTCGTCAATGGAAATTCCATCGATTACTTGATTAGTTGATAAGGGGGGAAACTGCAGAGGCGCAGCGGGGTTAGAGGAGCTGCCTGGCTCGTTACATTTAAAAGGCAGAGGTTCAGTGGGGGACTGGAGTGAGCTGGGACTCAGCTGTCCTGACTCACGCCCGGTCCCAGATGCTGCACCTCTGCTTTTTAAATACAGGAAGAGCAGCCAGGCGCAGTGTCTGGGATCAGGCACGAGCCAGGACTCAGCTGTCCTGGCTCACATCCAGTCCCCCACTGTGCCTCTGCCTTTCCTGCCCCTCCATAGAGACCGTGCTGCAGGGAACCGGATTAAAAGACAGAGGCAGCAAGTGGAGGGAGGAGGTGAAGCGACTAGTTGAGTAGTGACTAGTGATTCAACTAGTCACTTACATCCCTAGCATAAATTGCCTGCTTTTGTATGGTCTACTTTCCAAGCTAAGACTTTAGGAAGCCTCCCGACTTTAAGGGCACATCTACATAGCAGGGCTAAAGCCGAAATAAGCTATGCAACTTGAGCTACATCAATTGCATAGCTTATGTCAAAATAGCTTATTTTAGCTTTTGGTGCTGTCGTAAGTCCAAGAAAGAGCACTCTTCCTCCGACTTCCCTTACTCCTCATAAAATGAGGTTTACAGGAGTTGAAGTAAGAAGTCCTCCAGCTTGACATTATTTCGACATTATGTCAAAGTAACTGTTTATAGTATAGATGGAATTTTTGTCTTTATTGGTCATGTGTTGAAATACAGACTAGTTGTGTTTTATAATAGTCAGATGTGTGAGACTCCTCAGACCGATATACAAATGACAACCAACTGCTGCAAAGGAATTGTAGCCAGTTCACTTCATCTGGAAAAACGGTGGCTGTGATGTGAGGTCTCACATGGAATTTGGATCAGGGAATGGCATGAAATGATTATTCTTGAATTCTGGTAAGAATCCAGAACTTAGTGAAATTGGTAATCAATAGAAATTAGATCAGGTATCACAAACATACTGCATCATCCATCTTATTTATATATTTATGCTTATTTACCTAGATCTATAGCATTCATGTCCCTGGGTTATTAAAAAGCCTAATTTATCATTGAATACAGTACAGTTACCTCTGTAATTTTCTTGTGTTTTATGATTTAGTTCTGTGCTCTGAGCAGACACTGTACTGGGCAGGACTGAATGGTTGCTGTTGAGGCTGACACTTTCTTCCCGATGAGTTCCAGCCTACAGCAAAGAAAAGCAAAGTGTTTCCATCACCAATTTAATCCAAAGAAATAGTCCACATTGTAAATTCACACTCAGCATTGATGTGTAACACAAGATGTTGCTGCAATACAAAGCAACAACTGTAACTATGTTGATAGTATTAACACTTTAAAAAAAATCAAGATCTGTACTGTAAAATGCTGGGAAATGAGACATCAGTATGCACGTACCTCATAAAGAAGATGTTCTTTTATGTAAAATATTTGTAAACTGTTGCCTAATCCTTTACATAGCATACAAAGTGTTCCAAAATGCCACACTTCGTATATCCAAGATTAGGACTACTGATACATCAACTCATACATGCTTAAGTGCAGGACTGGGGCCTTGAATTATGGGTCAGCAAAAGAAAGATATAGCTGAAAGGGACTATTTATTGGACTAGGCCACTGGACTAACATCCTACTGGATTAGATAACTGTTCCAGGCAGTGACCAAAATCTGACTATAATTATACAACAACCTAGAAAATTTTTCAGTGTCATATCATGGAACAATGATTTTTTTCCCCTGATGCATAAGATTTCATTTCTGCTGGATCTGCTTTAGCTTGTGAACTGTAACAATCATAAAATTTTGTTCTTTAAATAAAGTCCTACTGAATTAATGGTCTTCACCTCATATAGGAGGGATTTTTTAAAAATCAGCTAAATGATTGCTCTTATTTTATGAAATAAAATTAAAAAGGAACCCCTCCCTCTATTTTCACAATACCATACGTCAATAAGTACTCTCATTCTCCTTCTTTGCAAGCAAATATGGCACTATCTACCAGTCATATTACAGTATGATATCACATAAAAGAATACCAGTGTCTGTCTATCTTCAATGTCCGTCTTAGGACCTTTTCAACCTCTACTCCTTCTTAAAAATAAGGTGACTAAAACTAAAACTACAGTAGACTTCCAATAATCCGGAACTTATGGGACCTAGGTGTTGCCGGATTATCAAGTATGCCGGACTATCAGGAGGTACTATAAGCTGGTTATATATATACTGTATACATTATATACTGTATATAAAGTGTTCTTAACCCTTTTTATTGTACATACTGTATACAGTATACTGTAATGTTTTAGTTTTTTTAAGCCTTTTTTACCCTTTTTGCTCAGTTCAGCTGCTGCCGCTTTTACCTTGTGACTCATTTTTTGCCGAAGCTCACTCACTAGGCTCTTGCCATTTTGATGCCGGACTATTGGATGCCGGACTATTGGAGTTTTACTGTACTTCTAACTGCTGTGTGCCTAAAGACGAGTAATCTTAAATTTAAGTTTTGCATGAACTTGGATGAACGATACTTAACGCTTACGTACATGAATGAAGGATATATATGTTTAGATTTAGCAAGCAAATTCATTACAAAACTCTTCACTGCTATTCATTTAAATGCTTTTGCCTTAATTTTTTAAAAATGTATGAAGAGGAGGTAATGAGAAATTCAACCTGAGTTTAAAATCGACTAGAAAACTTGTTTATTAAAGCTTCTAATTTCTTTACACAAAAGCTTTGGGAAATATTTAGTTTTAGAACTTAACCAAAATAATGCAATTAATAGTAAAAATCTAAAAGGGAAGACCAAGGATTCCGTTATTATTTTATACTTGCAATAAAAAGCCTCATCTGTAGCCAGTTTTTGTAACCGTAGCAAACATGTCAACTAGAAGATTAAGCCTTTAATTAAATAGGTTTATTGCCTGGAGTTACACATGAGAACCACTGTTTTTCAATAAATCCTTCAATCCTAGTAAACTGCTGAGCTTTGAATCCCTCTTGAGTAATTAATGCAGCTTTTACCTTTCATGTCTTAGTTTTATCCAGAGAGAGATAAATACCCTTATGCAAGTTTATCCTTTGTTTAATATATGCTGTTTTTTGTGAGTGAACACAGGAACAAGAAAGGAATTAAAAAAAAAAGTAAGCAAGTTAGCTAATACCAGGTCATTCTGGTCTGTTATTTGTATCTATTTTTTTGTGTCCAGTAATCCATCACACAAAGCAAAACAGCCTGGTGCTATTAACAGCATATTTTAGGAGAACATGCATTGTCTTTCATATGTACTAGTGTTTCTTTATGAGAAAAGTTCTACTACATATACAGTCATCTCAATCCTGTGCACACTGTATGTAGCCAGAGCGAATTTTTGGATTGACTTCTGTGGGAGCATTGGCAGCCCCAGGCTCTGAAAATTCAGCCTACAACATAAAATAACCTTCCTCACAAAAACAGAATGTGAAATTCATTCTTTAAAAAAAAGTTTTTAATATAAGACTTCGCTATGTTTTGCCCTGGAGGTTTTGTTCTTTTTTCATTCCCCTAGTTATGCTTAATCCTAACACATGAGGGTGCTTTATTCAATCTACAGACCTCAGATGTCTTCAGTGGCAAGTTAGCTCCAAAACCTGTTTACAAAAAAATCCTCAAGCAATGTGCAAACATACCATAACAGCTGCCAGATTCTTGGCAACTTTAAAATCAAGGGATAATCTAAAAATGACAGAACAGCAGATCAATTCTGACAGATTTAGAAAATAGATTGAAAATAAAAAAAAGCTGTATTTAACATAACCAGTACCTGGTTATGCACTCTCAAAACTGAAGCAAACAACGGAAGCTAATGAGCTTTGTAGAATATGTTTACTTGGAAGTATTTCCTATTACTAATGTGACCAGTATATCATTACATTTGTTCATTTTGGTCTCAAGTATGTGCTGTAAACTGAACGTATTAGACAAATTTTAAATTCAAGATTGGTTGTTCTCCTAAAAGATCGGCTTGAGGAATTATTTGGGGGAAATTCTATGGCCTGTGCTATACAGGAAGCCACAGAAGATGATCACGATTTCCTTCTGGCCTTGGAATCTATGAAAAATCAATTGAATTCAAGTTAACAGATTTTCCTGTGAGAGATGACAGTTGTACATAGTTGATTAAAACACAAGATTATCATGAACAGTGCAGGTTGGTAAATCTGAATTAACTTTAATTTAAAGAGAGTCTCCAGCAGATCCAATATAATGGTTTAATTTTATAAATTGTATCCTGCTTCTCGCTCTCATGGCTTTCATGTTAACCAGACAATCACTTTCACACATCCAAACACTGGAATTCTAATTAAAAGACTGATCCTGGGAGTCAGAATCGCCTATAAAGTGCCCAAAGCCTTAAATTTCCACTGACTTCTATGTCCGCAAGTTTAACAAAAGGCTTGGGCCCCCATAAGAAGATGTGAAAAGTTTGCAGACCATTAAACTTTACTTTGTAACTTAATCCTAACTCAAATGATTTCACCTTTTCATCTCATCAGCACTTCTAATGCTTTCTTTGGGCTGTGTGTGTGTTTCTCCTTCTTTTACGGAACAAACATTGGGTCCATTTTTATCAAGAAACATTTCAAATACATATCCCTTGTTCAGATTCTGCAGTCCTCCTCCCAAGACTCCCTAGAGCTTTTTTAGCATGCTTTTTGCACTGCACCAGTTACAGAAACACATTTAAAATAATATCTTTGTAAGAAAACCAAAAGTATTTGCATTGCTGTGGAAGTATTTCCTTGTATTTGCATATGTATCATAAAGCATAAAACACATAAACAAGCAAACAAAAAACCCCTCCAACGATTACCACCCTTCCTGTTACATCACATGATGGCAGAATGAGAATCATTTGAAGCACACAATCTGGACTATTTCAGCATAATGAAGTTAGCAGAACTCTCTCTTTGTAACTTGATTCCTCTCACAAATCTTTCTAATACCTGGAAAATTTAACTTTCACAGTCACTGTTGTCCCTTTTAACCCTTGCTCACCATATCCCTCTAGTTTAAACTCTAATCTTTATACCACATCAAAATGGGACTATCCACACGCACAACAGGTGTACAAACAGTTCTTTGTCTCAATAGAGCGCTTGTTCACTAAGGCCTGATAGGATGGCGTTTTAATTGTTCAGCTCATTAACATACAGCTGACAGCCTGCTATTTGAGTGAGGAGGGTTGATCCTCATGCAATACTTGTTTAAATTTCAATAACTGTGAACCTTCCCTTCAGAATAAAAGGCAGACACAAAAAATAGCATCTTGCCTTGTGGAGTCTCCTTTTACATTGCTGTACTTATACCATGGCACTCATGGATGGACTTGTTTTCATGTAGTTTGACCAATGAATTTAGTTCTTGTAACAGAAAAATGTTAAGTTTAATCAGTTGCTCTACAGTGAGAAGAATAAAACAATGGCACATGATAAAAAACCTGGACATGAGTAAAGGTGAATGAACAAACTGTAGATCTCATTCAGTCTAGCCATTTAAACAACAGTGCAGGGAATACTGATTATGTCGAGTATGCAATTTTAATCTACATCCTGATTGTCTGTGTATCCAGAGGCAATTCTCTTAATGTACTTTAATGGAAGAGGTCTCTATAACAGTAATAACGGTGGGGCCAGTATTTCTAGTATAATGGATTTGCAGAATTTATTTTTTTTCAAACAAACAAACAAACAAACAAACAAACAAACAAACAAACAAACAAAATTGTTCTGAACTTTAACAAACTTTTTCATGTTTGCTTTTAAGTAAACCTTAAGTGATATTTCAATTTATCTTTTCCCCCCATTTTTATGCATTGAAATCAATTGACCAATACTGTGCTGTATGACTGTAGCTGAAAACCACTTTCAGTTAAAAAAAAACCCAATACACTTGGAAAGCAATCAACCTAAAATGTAATACTGATATTTTAAGATTTTAAGTAGTTTAGGTATTTACCATAAGTGGTGGATTTAAAAAAAAAAAATTCAAGCACACAATCTACCACATATTTCACTCCACTGCAAACCTCAAAAAGCTCCCAAAGACAATTTGAACTACTGGGTAAATGAGAGTTTTAAAAATGCTCTTTAAAGTTTTTACAGGCTATTGACCAATTATCATGGTTTACGGAGTGAATAATATTTATTTTAAAATTTTTCTAAATACAGGCATACCATGAGTAACCATTCATTACATGTACGTAAACACTGACTACTTAATCTCAAATTCCTTAAAGGTAAATTTTAAAACATGTGCTTGTAAACTGGATTAACCAAATATGATTTCTGAATGTAAATGGTGGGCTGTAGTAATTCTGAAGGGCCATGGAGAAAAGTGGACTTCCAGAGAGTATTTTTGATTATATAATTAAGGAAAAATAGGTAAAACAAAAAACATATTAGACTATCTTAAATAGGAAAGATTTAGAATGAAATGTAA